AATATTGTGTTTTTGTTCGGAAATCCCAAAGGACTAGAAAAAGGAAGTCAATTATTGTTTTCTCCACGAGGGTAAAAATTAAAGAGTGGGCGAGTTTCGTTGCCCACTTTCAAGAACTTACGTCTTCAGATATTCAGTTCTATCGAAAGACATACTCATACGTTAGACTTTTATTTTTATTTTTGGGTTTTGCCTCCCAGTAGCACATCGGTATTTCTGCGGACTTATACTGCTAGAAAACGGGTTTCGATACCCGTGGTGTAGCTTTGTGTTTAATATCAAACAACAACAAAAAAATTTAGTGTTTCTTTTTGGATTTTTTTTTTTGTCATTTTCGTAATTGTTGTTAAAAGTTACCATAGTGTATTTAATTAGACATTTTTTCATTAATTTCTTCGATTATCTTGTTCTAACTGTCAGGTAGCACTACTAATTAAAGAATAAATGGTGAGCTTAGGGATTGCATTGACTGTCACTTTTATAAGTTTTGTAGAGTGTAGGGAATGTTTTGTGGTATCGCACAGATTCAAACCAAGCTCACCAGCTACGAAATCCAGAGCTCTACTACATTATATCTACCCTGTGATTATATCTTGAACTATTGTGCCATGAGAATAAGTTTTCAGCGGACGTATTAAGAATCATAAGTTTAATTCAAGAAAGGTTGAACATGATACAGGGTGTTTCTCAAACTGTCACGGAAGGTGTTCAGTATGCATTTTAGGCCAGCATATCAAGCCTATTCTTAAATGAAGCTACTAATAGTATCATTTGTTCCGGACAGCGTTTATCAGTTCTTACATTATACAACAAAATGACACGCATTTTATTCAAATAATATATTTTTTTTTCAGTGAGAGAGAAAGAAAAATGGGGGAAAAGTAGTACTAGTTTGTGAGGGAAAGCAATTTGCTAATACAGCATAAGATGGTTTTGAAACGCACGTTTTTTGAACAAATTAATGATCCTCTGTTTGCCTCTTCTGAACTTTTATTTCCCTATAGTGAGTAGGTTGTGAGATATGATTATTTTAACTGGGTGATTGTCTTTGTAAACACCTTCTGTTACTGATATAATTCGTTTAAAATAGACATTCAACTGGAGTAAATGGATTATTTTCTCAATATACGTGAACATTTTCTTCGGTATTAAATAACAGATAATAACAAAGGGATTTCTTTTAAGACTGTTCAGTATTGGATTGTTTAAGACCAGTTTTTTTAATCTTTCTACAAGATGTCTTTGCAGTTGTACGTATTTTTTCACTAGAAGAATCAATTAAACAACATATTAAGTCTAGAAAGAGTATAGTTAATTGTCTGTTTTGTGAATATTTTGATCACAGACGTAACTAAATATCTAAACCTTCTATAGAAAGTTTTATTTTCCCCTCACTTCTATTGTCACGAATCAGTATGCAAGATTTGATTTAGAGGATTTAATATGAATAGTTTGTTTTCTTGCGTCAATAATCAGTATTGGAAGGCCTCCAATGGCTCAGCGACAAGTCTAAAGACTTGTAACACTAAAAACCGGGTTTTGGTATCTGTGGTGAGCACAACAAAGATAGCCCATTGTGTAGCTTTGTGCTTAAAAACAAACCCTATCGTCAGGAATTAGCATACGTAGTTTGCTCCACCCCCCCCCCACACACCCCCATGATAGTATTAGGTTTCACTATGTGTAGATTTTCTCCCTTAGTCCTAGCGTCATGCTTCAGTATTGGAAAGTCGGGATTCAGCACGCATACTTGTTGTTTTTACTTTTTCAAACAGTCCTGACGTCGGGATTCAGTACGCGTACTTGTTGTTTTTATTTTTTCAAACAGTCCTGACGTCTGGATTCAGTACGTGTAGCTTGTTTCTGCCCTTTAGTCTTGGCTTGCGTCAGGATTCGTATCTGAACTTTTCTCCTTAGACTTGACGTTTGGGATCCAAATCATCTTCTTGGATAGATGTGGGAAATGAATCTGTCTGTAATAGTTTAATTCCAGCTGAGAAGAAACTTAAAATAGTAAGGTTCGTATGGACGTCTTCGTAGGCCTTATAAGAATTACCCACAGTATTCGAATTTTTAATACGCTTAAAATGGTAGCTCAAACTCTTTCTTATTGTTTTTATTAAATTTTGTTATATACAACATGGCGAATAGTAGTGTAAATAATGTTCACGTGTAAATGCTAAGATTGGTGAATATTATTTTCTTTAGACTTTTTGAATTTTAAAACTGCAACTTGCTACCAACTTGATCAATTTATAATGATGATCGACATCCTAACCAACTTGTCATCTTACTGGACATCCTCTCTGTATCTTAATTTTACGGTTTATTTCTGTGTGGACATTAATTTCGTTTTTAACAAGCACATCCTCACAGAAAGAAGAAATTATTATTTTTATTAGAAATGTTATTGGTTGCTAGGTTAGACTTTCAAGCATTGTGCTATTGGGTACAATTGCCCACTCTGCTTCGTCACCCCCGCTAAAAATCCGAGGTTCAATTTCCCAATTTCCCTCGGTGAACAGCTAACAGAGAATCCTTTCTACTAAAACAGACAAAATTAAATCCCATTCTACTCCAAAACATTCCAAATAAGACTTGTGGTTCTTAATGCGCATCTGGTTATTCAATAATGTTAGTTCGAGATTATTTGACTGTGATGTCAAATTATAAACGTATTTACTATGTAAAAGTTTATATTTATTATCTGTATGTCCAACCAGATGGATCCTGGATGAATGTGACGTAGGCGAAGAAGTGGGAGAAAAAAAGAAGGCTACATCGACTTAAACCAAAACTATTAAAGATAAATTGGTCTGAATTGGTATCTGTGTCTAAACAGGGCATGTCTGATACTACTACTACTACTATAAAGAAAGGGTTTTTATGGCAACAAAGAGACAGATTCTTCAGTCGCTGGAAAGAACGTTATTTTATGTTAACTCTGGACTACTTGGCTTGTTTTAAAAGAGGTTCGAAGGTGGGAACGTCAGAGATGGGAAGCTTTCAGTATAAGGTAGGTGAGAATTTTCGACATTAAAGTATAAGAATGTCATTAGAAATCTTTATTTTGATGGAACGCAGTATAATGAATTATAGGTTCAGCCATAAGATAACTGGTTCAAATGTACAACATAGCAAACGATTTTTCATCGGAAAAACAACAACAACTAGTCTAAATGTACAGTACAACAGATGTACTTTCAGCCATGAGATAAGTGGCCCAAATGTACAGGATAATAGACGAGGTTTTACCCAAAATATAACTAGTCCAGATGTACATTTTAATAAAGACACTTATTCAAAAGATAAATGGCCCAAATGTACACTATCATAGATGAGTCTTCAACCCAGAAGGCAATGGGCCAAAGTCTACAGTACCATAGACGAAATTTCAGTCAGAAGGCAATGGGCCAAAGTCTACAGTATCATAGACGAGGTTTCAGTCAGAAGGCAATGGGCCAAAGTCTACAGTATCCTAGACGAGGTTTCAGTCAGAAGGCAATGGACCAAAGTCTACAGTATTCTAGACGAGGTTTCAGTCAGAAGGCAATGGACCAAAGTCTACAGTATCATAGACGAGGTTTCAGTCAGAAGGCAATGGGCCAAAGTCTACAGTATCATAGATGAGGTTTCAGTCAGAAGGTAATGGGCCAAAGTCTACAATATCATAGACGAGGTTTCAGTCAGAAGGCAATGGGCCAAAGTCTACAGTATCATAGACGAATTTTCAGTCGAAATGTACAATGTAATAGACGAGTTTGTTATAGAACGAGTAAGTTTTTTTTTTCAGAGTTAATTACATTACCTCTCAGTTTTTTTTTCCCATTTATGTGAAGTTGATATAGCTATACAGCGGTTTGACTGTGTTATAAGCACACATAGTTGGGAAATAAGTTTGCTATCGTTGTACTTCCGTTTATGGTTTGTGTAGAAATACAACTGAAAATGACATCTTACAGTATCTTTCTCTGCTCAGAAACGTATACATTATGAAATTAGGAACATAGTCAGAATGTGGGATTAAATAGTCATTAATGTTAAATCAATGCTATAAAGCTGATATTATATATATCATCCTTTTTGATCAAAATAGTGAATGAGGGAACCCTTAATACATCTAAAAATGTTGGCATGGATACGATATAGCTTGTTTTTTTTTAACCCTAAATTCGCGACTTAACCAGACCCAAGTCCCTAAACTGTGACGATAATTTTTCACATCACATCCGGTAGTACTGACTTTACACTTTTGTTCTATCGTTTAGACTTGGGTTTAAAGAGTTGAAAACCAACACAAAAACTGATACTGATTTTGGTACAACTTTGAAACCGTTTGTCAAAGTTGACTTATTTTCACGAGATCGATAGCTATTTTCGGTGTAAGCGTGATCAGGAACTTGCAAAGTTTAGCGCAAACAATAACAGATAAAGTACACACGATGAATTTTAGTGAATGGAACAATGGATGACCTTCAACTTGTGCTTCATTAACTTATAAATCACCATCTTCAAGACCAAAAACAACAACAGCTCTTCCTTTTGAAGAGCAATATTTCTTCTTTCGATGTCTAATTTTCTTTTTATTGTTTTTTTGGGGGGGGGGGATCCTCTTTGCATTTTCTTTCAATGGATATCACATCATAGTCACATCCTCACAGGTGGCTGAGCGAAAGTGGTAGTGGAGGTTGAGACATATAAATACTGGTGGTGATGATGGGAGGAAGAGGAGTTAAGGTATTCATGTTAATAGCATTTAATGAGTTCCATCTAGTGTACCATAATCATCATATAGGAGACTGACATAAACAACAAGGCTAAGTTTTTGTGGTTATTTTGTGTCCAAAACTGGGCTTCCATCATATAGGAGACTGACATGAACAACAAGGTAGTTTTTGTGGATACATGGTGTGTCCAGAACTAGGCTTCCATCATATAAGAGATTGACGTAAACAACAACAAGGCAGTTTTTGTGGTTCTTTGTGTCCAAAACTGGGCTTCCATCATACAGGAGACTAACATGAACAACAAGGTAGTTTTTGTGGATACTTGGTGTGTCCAGAACTAGGCTTCCATCATATAAGAGGCTGACATAAACAACAACAAGGAAGTTTTTGTGGTTACTTTGTGTCCAAAACTGGGCTTCCATCATATAGAAGACTGACATAAACAACAAGGTAGTTTTTGTGGTTATTTTGTGTCCAAAACTGGGCTTCCATCATATAGGAGACTGACATGAACAACAAGGTAGTTTTTGTGGTTATTTTGTGTCCAAAACTGGGCTTCCATCATATAGGAGACTAACATGAACAACAAGGTAGTTTTTGTGGATACTTGGTGTGTCCAAAACATGGCTTCCATCATATAAGAGGCTGACATAAACAACAACAACAAGGCAGTTTTTGTGGTTACTTTGTGTCCAAAACTGGGCTTCCAATGAAACAGATTTAAAAACAGCAGAAATAATAATAATAAGAATAGATGGTTTTGTTCACGTGCACGAATGTACACATTTTTTTTATTGGTGTATCGGTTCATATGCACATAAGTACAAATTTAACTGAATATTCTCGTCGTTGACATGTAACATCACTTTGTCAATTATAATTCCATCTATTGCTTCAGTTCCTTATCTATCGTTATAGAACATTGTTTCCAAACCGTCGGGGCACGAAATATTGTACGAATATTTCATCTAAGCTAAAATTGAAAAAATTATCAGCAACTTTCACCATTTTTATTTTCCTCCGACAATTAACCTTAACTCTTTCGTGATGGATGTATCCAAGTGCGCATGTCACGACGTTTTAGTGAATTACATACTTAGAAAGCCAGAAAAAGTATGAAAGGAATTAATGCTACCGGGGCGCGGTGAAATATTCAAAAGATCTACCGGGGCGCAGTAGCTTTAGGGCTAGAAAACACTGTTTTAAAATATTAGTAGTAAATTCTAAAATCTTCAGAACGTTTCATACTTTAGACTTACTACCAATCTAGGCCTGCTTATAATTCAAAAACTTGTTTATAATTTGACATGTTTATAGATTTGGTTTAACCAAGACTTTCGATACGCTACATCAACGATAACGAATAATGTGAATTAGTGATTTTCGAAGAAATATTGATACAAGTGGTGTTATTCTGGATCGAGGGCTGTTCTTTCAATTTTATGTGTCTAAAGGACAAGTATTTTATTAATAGATAGAGCTTAAATTATGGTATACCCATAGTTGTATGAATAGAAATAGGAAAAACAAAACGGGCTTTGATTGTATACTTTTGACGTAGTGACCGTTTCATCAGAAATAACTTTAGCAACTCGAAAAACGTTTTCCCCAAAACTTGCAACAGGTTCAAAGGCTTGTTCACCTCTCTGTACGTTTTATTTATTTGCTTGTTCGTTTTTTTTTTTAGAATTTTCGCGCAATGCTACACATGAGTTATCTGCGCATGGCAGTACCTGATTTTAAATTACTATGGAAGGCAGTAAGTCAACAGCACCCACCGCCAATTCTTGAGCTGCTCTTGTCAGACCACTAGGATACACTAGGCCGAGCATAACATACTTAAGAGACTCTGTACTATTGCAATAACCTATCATGCTAGAGAAAACAGTAGATAAAATTTAATTATATTAAATTAATGAGATGAATCATATACGAGAAAAAAAAAGATTAAAAAAGCCTTCTACACCTAGCTAACTGATAACACATTCAGTCAATCTGACCTATACGTCAGAAAATCTTCTTTTGAAGCCATTTCCCATTCGTTGGAGTCGTAATGAGGAAGACCCCAGTCGAACTGACAACATACAAACTTATTCATTAAGAAGACCTAGGATCGAACCTCGGTCGCTACCCCTACAGAAATAATCCTTTTCAGGACTTCCCAGAAGACAGCAGATTATCAGCCGAAACGTAGGATAAAAACAAGTTAGTATTTAATAACAAAAAAAGTATTAATATCAAAATGATCAGACTTAGATGATCGTATAGGCTACTAACTATGGTAACAAACCCCCAGTTTTGATTATATTACTTTAATTATAATATAAAAAAATAAGCTGTCATACCTCTATCTTTAAAACTGACTTCCTTTAGCCAAGTAAGTTTCGTACGTAAATCATGTAGTGAAGTCTGTATACTTAAACTGATGATAGTGGTTTAACTATTCTCATTTTCGCAACTTTCAAAATGCGACTGTTTTTGTTTTTTTTTTACCAAAAACTTGAAGAGATTGTATAATGAGTTGATATTGGTTTACGAATGTCTACCAAGGTTTTATCTTGTTAACTAAGCCTACAATTTGATCATATTTTATGTCGTAGATTAATATAGATTTAAAATCGATGGTGTTTAATCTTGTGCAATAGAAGTAGCATGATTTTTATTTATAATTAAATTCTGTAACATTATTTAAGTGTACTGCCATCTAACAGGTTAATCTGGCTGATGTCGATGGACTTCATTGGGCAGATAAAAAACAGGATGGAGTAATTTCCATCGGAGTCGGTCAGGAAGGGCAGCTGTTATTGTGGACACCAGAGGGCTTGGATGACTGGATGTTTAGTCTGCGGGATGCCATGAGTCGAAGTAAGGGTCGTCGAGAGGTTCTTCGGAAGTCACAAACTTTGTACCCACAGTTCTCGAGTACAGGATTAACAAAAAGGTAGATATATATCCATACGTTGTTATTTAGAGCATTTACCTCGAAGGCTTCAGTCTTGATTATAGATTTTATTCTTTGCCAGCTGTAAGTGCAGTCTAGTGTTTTTCCTGTTTTCTTCACACGATAAAGTTCAAGACTGCCTAGTTTTAACAAGCTGTATATTCAACAAAAGAAATATATTTTGTATAAATTCTAAATATTACTCGAAGTACTTTTATGTATGTGTATAAATTAAAAACTGAGCCTAATTAAGAAGAAAAGGAATATGACTAAAATGGTAAATTCATTACCGCACTTTGTGTAAAATTGGGAAAGAGTTCTCTTTCAGTTAAACTAATATTAATCTTTTTGAGAAAAATTGAGACTTCTAAGAAGTAAAGCTGAAAGTTCTGGTGATATCTAAAACTTTGAAGAATCTGAGAGTGTAATATATACGTGAAAGCTTTAACAATCGTATTTTCCTAGAGATAAGGGAAGTTTCTTATTTTATTAGAAGCTTCATTTTTTAAAGAATGGAGGAATTATAAGCTTAGAAGTTTGACTTTTGCTTTTAGCAAGCTTTTGAAATATCTTGTCAGAGATAACTTATAGAACTTCCTTAAGTCGCCATTTGGTAAATAATCAGCATTGGTTGAGAAAGAATTTTTACTGCCTTACTAACTCCTTTAAATGAGAGAGTAGCGTTAGATGGCGTGTATCTTGACTTTCAGAAAATCCTTAATATGTGACCTTTCAAGAGATTAATTGATAATATTCTGATGAAACTTTTAAAGATTAACAATGAACAGAAGTTTGGCTTTGTGATAGGAAACAGAAAGAAGCGATTATTTTTTTTATTTTATTTCAGATTTAGAGAGATACCTTGGGAGTCTATTTTAGGACTTTTGTTGTTTATTATTTGTAATAATGGCTTTGATAGCCACTTGAGTTTTATTGTTTCCATTAATGGTATTAAGATACTGGGAAAGGCTGACTCTATGAGGAATGCTTTCCTTATTTCAAGAGGACTTAGACAATTTGATAGAGTGGACAAGTTAATTTTACTAATTAAAAAAGAGCAAAATACATGATAAACTTAGGATTTAAAAATTCGTAAAAGACCAATTTCTTGTTTCAGAGAAACATTGTTAAATAGAAAGAAAAATTCATTTGGTATGGTTATTGGTAAATGCCTGAAACGCTGTGGTTAAAAGTTAGTCCTAAGACCAATTTACAGAATTACTGCGATATGAGACAGGATTTAGATTCCTTTATTCTGTTTTATCATATTTCTTGCAAAAAAGAACAAACCGGTGGAGATAGTGCAGAGGCTAGTCTATAGAATCATATAAAATTTTAAAAAGTGAGTCGCGAAGAACTGCTTAAACACTTGTTTAATCTCTGTTGGATTTGTATGGCAAGAGCCAAATTTAATTTATTTGCTTGCTTTGGTGGGAGAAGGAATGACCTTGATGGGCTAAATGACCTTCAGTTAAGTTGATAATATTTATATGAATATGAAAGTTACATTTTATGAAAAAAGTAAGTTTTGACATAGAAAATTATATTGAACATACATAGGCATCTCCATACTTTACAACACACCCTATCTGACAGCTGCATGAAGACCTCTTTAATGTGTCGACGCAACATTAGTATGAACCTCGAACGTTTAAGTGATCTGCGTCCAGTGGCAGAAAAACAGTCCCCGCCACAAATAGGAAAATTCTCAGATGGAAAGCCTGGGTGAGCATATTTTTTTTTTTTTTAGTTAATGCTCTATTTAAAAAAAAATATAAATCAGACTGTTCGGAAATATAACTTTTAGAATTATAAATTATTGAAACTTAGAGAGGCTATCTGATGCCTGAACAACAGGGTCTCTTAGTTTAAAAAAAGTCAATAATGTATGCCATGAATGATCTTAAATTGCAAACTTAAAATAAAATGATAACCCTTTCGAATGCTCGAAGAAGAACCTAAGATTTAACCTCTGCCAGGTTTCCTAGAGCTGAATGATGATATTCCACATTAGTCTCAAGGTTCTAGAATTATCCGTGAGAAACTTTCTTTGAAATCATATTACAAAATCATTGATGTGGCACTGTAATTCCCCCATGTCACCTTTCACACTTAATTAAGCAGTCATGGAAGAGTTTTCCAAGAAAAGAAAAATACTTGTAATTTTAATGATCAACGTTATTAATTAGTATCACCACTAAATTAGCCCTCTTAAATCCACCAACTTAATGTGCCACAATGATTTGTTATTATTGTTCATATCCAGGAAAAAAATCTCGGCGGTGATAATCGTACCACTATTAACGCAACGAGATGAAAATGGTTCCGTGTCTTTACCCTCCTCCCAAACGGGCAAAGATTAATAGTTATAGTGCCGGACTGTGAATCGGGGGATCCATGGTTCGTGTTCCGTACCCGCAAAATGGCGCTCCTCACAGTGTGCGCTGTAGACTAATTATCTTCCATCTAGTCTATCAGTTCAAAATTAGGCAGGGCTAGCTCTAATAGCCCATATGTAGATATGCACGAATATTCGAAAGAAACGAAAAACCACCTCTTTCCCCCTCCCCAAGAATTTTTATGATTCGTTCGTAGGCTTAAAAACAATCCCTCCACTTTATATTATTACTGATGACACCCTCTTGTTTTACCCTTTGTGGATTTTCAAGCCAGCAGATTAAGCAAGTTGACTGTATTTGCCAATATAAGATCATTGTCACTGTAAATGATGAAAAAATCAGAAGTTGGAGACTTTTCTGAAATAAAAAGATTTCTAATTTAAATCGTAATGTTACGTATCTGCTTGTTTGTTGATTTCCCGTAGAAATTCTTCACGAGAATCTTCAGCGATACAAGTCCTTTCTTAATTAAAACTAGTTTATTCTTTCTCG